GGACCGGAGGCTATGACTGAGGAACCAGCGGCTAACGTCAGCTTCGGTTCAGAAGAGCTGCAAAGAGAACTGGTGTTTAACGGGAGCAGAGGCAGTGGCTGCAGGACGGTGGAGGTGTTTGAAGGTGGAGACCTGACCCTGACTTTCATCATGGAGTCCTATCCTGCAATCAGACAGCATCACTGGACGACACCAGAACATGTAAACAATGATGGCAGCAGCGTGTATGAGAGGAGCTACACAGCTACAGCCTACAGGTATCCCAACCATTCCACCTTAAAACTCTGCAGACCAACCATTTCACTTGAAACCCAAAATACAGAAACCATGCTAGTCACGCCTCCAAAAACCTGACAATACCACCTTCACTACCCACACCAGCTGCACTACCACCTTGGAAAGTCCAACAATCATCAGTAGCCACCTTAATAAATGCAGATATGTATACCAGAAGACTTCCACACCACCTTTAAAAAAAAGCCAGTTGCATTGCCTACCACATTAAAAACAGCCTATCAATATTTCAGTCTGACCACCTTAACAGCTTTGAAATAAACCTAACCTTCTGTACCACCTTTAAAACAATAACTGCATACCACCTTACTAACTGAATACCTTTTAATATTAATGTTTGTTAAGGTGGTATGTTTGACACCACTTTAAGTTGGTGGTTCTGGTAATGTGTTTTTAAGGTGGTATTGCTGGTATTTCAGCTTGACATTGTTGATGAGTGTCAAGGTGGTATTTTAGAGCAGCCACTGAGATTTCAGTGATATGAAGGGATTTTATTTAATGATTGAAGGAGATACTTTTGGTCACATTTAGTTGCTTTTTAAGGCGTTATATATAAGCTCTGTGACTTGTTTTAAGGTGGTATTGTTGTTGGAACAGGTCAGAGGCCAACCTTCTGGTGCGGCGCGTTCGTCAGGAAGATGGTGGTCGATATTCTTTTAATTTTTCTAATTTGTTCTTTAACGGGTCGCAGGATGTGGACCTCCGGATCTACCGTAAGAACTGGTTCCACCTTTTCTACGTCTGATTGTTTTTTTGGGGTTTCCGTGCTGGTGAACTGTTCGATCTGATCCGAACCCTACAGGTTCTCCGACTGTCAGCATCACGCAGCAGAACCAGTCCCTGATGTGCAGCGGTTCTGGTTACCCACGGCCCACGGTCCTCTGGTTCATCTGCACCCACGTGGACAGGTATGTGAACTGAGCTGCCACCGCCCCCTACAGGCTCTGCATGGTGTGTCCATGCACACATGCATGCATGCATGGGGTCACTTGCAGTGCCCCCAAGTGTCACTGGGGGCGCTGCAGTCTGTGGCACTTGAAGAACATGATGTTTTATTTATTATTGTTGGGAAGTTTTGGTCAGAAACATCTGCCACCATGTTGGGATCAGAATAAAAGCCAAGATGAAGCTCTGATCTCCTGCAGGTGTGAACCCAGCTCCAACCACCAGGTGTCTCCATCTCCTGCAACCTCAGAGGACAGGGAGGAGGTGAGGACATTCTTCCCTCTGTCCACCCCTGACGATGATGTCACAGTCATGTGTTTGGCGTACAACCTGGTGGGCAAGTCTCATCAAGTGTTTGTTCATCGTGAGTATCAGAGGAACCTAAGTGAAAAACCTCAGAGATCTGATCCCAGACCAGCTCCGCTCTTAGCACCAGACTGGCTTTGGTACAGTCTGGACTCTGTAAAGAAGGAGCAGATTAGGATTAACAGAGTTCAGTATCTAAATCCAGATTAGGTTTACAACTGACTCCTGCCTAGAAAACTGAACAGTTGCTAACTTTGGTCCATCCGGTGCTGCATTCAGGTACCACAGGACTTCGCACCGTCTTCACTCCAGCTCTGATTGGAGCGCTGAGCGTCTCCTCCATCCTCTTCCTGCTGCTGTTATTTGTGTTCTACAAGTGCAGACAGGTGAGTTCCTCTGGGGTCGGTGAGTACAGGTTCTGGTGTTCTTTGTGAGTAACAGGAACCAAAACCAGGACCACAGACAAACTGTCCTCTTCTCTTCAACCAGAAACCAAGGTATGAAATTCTGTGGAAGATCATTGAGAGCAACGATGGCAACAACTACACCTTCATTGACCCCACCCAGCTGCCATACAACCAGAAGTGGGAGTTTCCTCGAGACAAACTGCGACTCGGTATCAACGGGACCTTTGACCTCTGCGTAGCCTTCCTCATCCTTCCTCTCCCATCTTTTTACTGTGTCTCTGCTCTTTGTCCTTCAGGCGGAGTCCTGGGCTCGGGGGCGTTTGGAAAGGTTGTTGAGGCGACGGCGTACGGCCTGGGAACAGAAAACAAGGCTACCAGAGTTGCTGTCAAGATGCTCAAACGTGAGTGGTCCCGCCTTCACAGTCAGCATCCGGCTGCCATGTGACCAACCACCTGAGTTTCATGTGTTTACCTGCAGCCAGTGCTCACTCAGAGGAACGGGAGGCTCTGATGTCAGAGCTGAAGATCCTCAGCCATCTCGGTTACCATGACAACATCGTTAACCTGCTGGGAGCGTGCACGCAAGGAGGTAATAAGTCCGAACCCAAAGGGTGTGGCAGATGGGATTACCAGCTATAAGCCTTAAGATAGGCCTTAAGTCAGTTCCTAACCATTCGTAAGCATTAGTCTAGGTTTAAATGGCCGTCCATGCATCATGTAAACCCTCTGGTCCTTGGGGACAGTGGAGTTTGTCTCAAGCTGTGTTTGGGTTGAGAGGCATTGGACACCCTGGACAGGTCTAGAGTCCATCACAGGACAGACAACCACACACACTTAGACCTGAGGACAAACACAGACACCAGTTAGCCTAACTGTTGTGTCTTTGGGTTGTGGTATGAGTTATTCCAGAACCAGTCAGGAACCAGGAAAAGCCTGAACCATTCTGAAACTGGTGTGTTACTGGTCTAAACCATTACATCTGTCCCAACTCGAGCAGTTTCAGTCAGGATTCGGTTCTGGTGAGTCACGCACCAAGTTTAAGACTCCCTAGAACCAGTCTTAGGTCAGGCCTGATCTAATGTAAACTGGTCAGAAACCATTTAAACCATTCCTTACCCAGTCTGAAGTGGATCTTGGAGGAACCACAACGGCTCTCAGGTGTGCGATGTCCATGTGTCAACGTGTTCTCTCTCTGGGTTTGTATCGCCTGCCGATGTTCATCAGAACATCCAAGAGACGCTTCAGGTTTCAGATGAAAGTTCTGCACATTGGTTTATTGACTGCTTCATGTTTGCTATTAACTAAAACACTTTGAATCATATCTCTTAACCTTTGACCCCAACAGGCCCAATGCTAATGATCACAGAGTACTGTAGCCATGGTGACCTACTCAACTTCCTACGGACTCACGTGCCAGACTTCATGGTGTCCATGATCACCATAGACGAGGTTGGAGATGAGGTCTTCTATAAGAACCTGACAGGACACCAGGAAAGGCTACGCAGGTCAGAGGTCATCTGTTCAAAAGTTAGAATCTGTCTGTTGGAGTCCGGTCTTCAAAACAGCTAAGATGGTTAAAGTCAGATGATTGCTATTTATTCCTGCTGATGCTGACGAGTTCCTGCTAGTTAATGTCTCTCCACCTGTAAGACCTGGTCAGATGAATCATAAAATCCAATCATGTGACCTGCAGTGACAGTGGGATCTCATGCTGGTCAGAGTACCAGGAGATGCAATCGGCCCTGCTTCCAAGTCCAAATGAGCCAGGTAAGACTGAGCCCACCTGGATGCACCTGGTTTCACCTGCACTTTCACCTGAGCTCACCTGGGGTTCTCCGTCAGGTGAGCACATGATGAGCCTGTCCCTCTGTGACCTCCTGAGGTTTTCCTACCACGTGGCTCAGGGATTGGACTTTCTTTCCTCCAGAAACGTGAGAACACGACATACACACGCAGTAAATCAGTTCAGGAATGTCTCAGAACCAGAACCCAGCCAAGCCTGGTTCCTACTGCAGTCCTAGATCCGGTTTAAGAGCTGCTACAGCGCAAGGATGAGGCAGAATGTGTTTAAAATGCTGAAAGTCCTCTAACCTGTATGTCTCACCTGTTGGTGCTCCAGTGCATCCACAGAGACGTGGCAGCGAGGAACGTCCTGCTGACCGACTGTCGGGTTGCAAAGATCTGTGACTTCGGTTTGGCTCGAGACATTCAAAACGATGACAGCTACATCGTTCAGGGAAATGTCAGTAGTTTAACTCAATACAGATTGATTCCTCAGATCCAAAGGGAACTTTATCTTGAAATTTGGTGTTTTATTTTGACAGGCCCGGCTGCCGGTGAAGTGGATGGCTCCAGAGAGCATCTTTCAGTGTCTATATACAGTTCAGAGTGACGTCTGGTCCTACGGGGTCCTGCTCTGGGAGATCTTCTCTCTGGGTAACCTGAACCTCACTGAGGAAAGGTGAAGCATCTGAGCATCTTTGAATCACTTCCTGTGTTCATCTGCTCAGGTAAGAGTCCGTACCCCAACGTTGTTGTGGATACCAACTTCTACAAGATGATCAAAGATGGCCACCATATGGAACAGCCGGAGTTCGCTCCTAATGAAATGTGAGAAAAATCTTCTGCTTGCTTTGTTATGTTTGGAAGCCCGTACCAGGTAGAAGCACAAGTAGACAAAGAACTCTTCTTAACAGCTTTTATTCTTAACTTGCTCAGCAGTACAGCAGCATCAGGTATTCCTTTCCTGGCAAAAATTCTAGTAAGTAAACCAAAACCTGCACGAAGAAAGGAAATGTAGTTCCTCCAACCCCAGTCCTCCAGCTCTACTGACCTGCAATACAACTTTATTTATAAAGGATTCAGAACAACAGCCTTGGCCAAAGTGCTGCACATTAAAACAGTTAAGAGATTAAAGCCAACACCTCAAACTGAGTCAAAAGCCAAAGAAAACGATGTAAAAAGAGGAAATGAATCAGAGTGGTAGGTTTAGGGTTCCGCAGTCACAAGCTTTTCTTTTGCATCTTGAAGTTGGAGTGAAGAAACGCTCGAACTCACTGGTGAAAACTGCCCAACTGACCTTGTAAACGCCCACAGCTCCATCCCAGGGCAGCTTTGGGTTTGGAAAGTCCAGTCCTTCTGGTTTCAGAGGCTGAGCCGTGATGGGAGCCAGCCTACATCTCCAGAGTGGCTCCTTTACTGTCAGCCAGCTGCATTTGCTGACTGCAAGGCCACATCTCAGACCCTGGCTTCTTCTGCCACCTACCTGGGGCCGCTGGACCCCCAGGACCCGGTCTGCTGGAGGAGTCATGGTCCACCAGCAGTAATTATTATTACACATCCACATTTGTAAAATACGGAACAAACCGCGTCCCGTATCGGTTCAATACGGAACACTACATTTAACAGCCAATTACGGGACGGTTCCCTATTTTAAAGGGACGGGTGGCAGCCCTATCCACTAGCTTACTGTGTTTTCCTCCCACTGAGCCATGAGCCAGGGCCAGTCGTTCAGGCGGTAACTCTGTGCAGGAAACGTAACGAAGCTGATTTCCTTTCAGGTATCACCTGATGAAGCTCTGCTGGAGTCTGGAGCCCACCCACAGACCCACCTTTAAAACCATTGGTCAGCTCATCGAAAGGCTCCTCCCCTTGACCAGCGACATGTTGCCGCGTCACAGTGACCAGGTGAGGAAGCTGAGGGTTATCTAAGGCCTCGGCGTTGTCTGACAGGCTGTGGCTTCATTGTTCCACTCTTCTTCTCTCCTCAGGTGATGTATGAAAACATTGATGAATGCAGAGCAGAAGAAGAGGATGATGATGATGATGATGATGATGATGATGATGATGATGATGAGGTCCAAGGTGGAATACTGAAGAGAAAAGAAGAAGAGCAAGGTAAGATTTCCTAAAGCTGTTTGCATCTTTCATAAAACTGATGTGGCTTCACTTCCTGTTCTCCTGCTAACAGATCGCCATGACGACGGTGAAGGAGCGGAGAGGGAGTCGACGATGAACAACATCTACCAGCTCTCCTGATCCTCTCTTCTGACCAGTTGCCATGAACTCATATTGAGTTCATCTCATCTCCACACATCAGCAGCTCCTCTCTGCTCTCAGACTCTCCTAGAGACTAAAGCCAAAAAAGGAACGAGTTGCCGTTAAGCCAGCCTGGTCCTGTCGGATCTACTCTACAAACTCTGGATCTCCAACCATTTGAAGGTTGAGAGGGTTTCAATCTGCAACCTGATCTGATCCTCTCCTCCAGATCTTCCCTTCACTCCTTCAGACTGAAGCCGATCCGCCAGGCTGGTTTCCAACCCAAAGATTAGAAATCCAGAACGCAGCCCTGAGGCTCCCCAACCAGGTTTGGTCACTGGGTGGGGTCACCACCTGGAGTCACCAGCTGGGGTCACTAGCTGGGGTCACCAG